ATCTGGAAAAAAATGAAAAATTACAATGTAGTCCGAATTTCCTCTGCATCACTAAAAAATAAACCTATGATGTTTCATATGTTCTTCAAATAGTTAGAAATTAAATGTTAACATTGAAAATTATTTACTACACGCGAAATAATTCAATTATCACTCTCTTCAATTGAATTATTCATATCATTAATTCCATTTGTTGCGCGCAATAATTCTCTTAGAGAAAGCAACTATTTTTAAAATTAGTGATATCACGAAATCAACATAATTTAAATAATAATCTTTTGAATTGTGACTCTTTGTAGAAGAATTGATGCGTATCGTTAAACTCTTTAATTTCATAATACCCCTTGGGAAAATAACAGAATTCTGAAAATAGTTGTTCATCGTACCACTATTTAAAGGTGGAGACAAACCAATAACGTCATGTACCAGCTATAGCCCCATTGCCTTGCTTTATGAACATTTTTGAAAATGTCATAAATTCAGAAATTTCCGAATTTGTTATTAATCATGAGCACTTTCCCTAGCTGCAAGCAACAGCAATGTTTTCAAAAGCAAAGTGGTTGTTTAACCGCTTCTTTTAATATGCAAGAAACCCTTTTTCGTAATATTGAACAAGCCAGCAATGTGTACATTGATTTCCTGTTCTGCAGGGAATACGACAAGGAGGAGTTTTTCGTCATTCTCCTTATTTCTTGTGTTTAAAAAATGCTGTGACGTCATATTTTGTTTCACCTGGTCTAGTAAATTTCTTGCTGCCCTGCACTCCGTCCAATAAAACAAGTTGGTATGAGGAATGTAGGATATTAATTAGCATCGTAAATTAATATTTAAATTTAGCAGACTACTGTAAAGGAAATTGGCATATAAATAATCCACGGTGAACTGAATGTATCAAAGGAAATGTAGGAGAATTCGTGAAACCGAGCTTAAAATTCATAAATCCGCTGTTCATTATTATTAATTTCACACTGACTGGTTCACTCAAATTAGGAACATTCACAGAATCTGTGGGACACAAATCGAATCAGATGCACGTTTCCTTACACTCATTATTTGGCTTTTTGCTGGGTTGAATATCCATTTTCCGCATTTACTATTCCACTCATCAAATTTCAACGAGTTCTGGGATGCAAGTCTATATTTTCGGGTTGTGTTATATGGTCATTTCTTTTTCTGTGAATAGTTGCTCGTCTGCTCGCGTGTTGTTTGAGCCTCGTTGCTCTAAAGGAATGGTTGGAGTAAAAACCTTAAAAACCAAGAAAATTTGTTGTAAATTGATAATTCAGACATAGGCTCCCAACTTTACAACAGAAAACTTCAATTTTAAAGAGTGCTTGGAGGAAAATCCTTCGAATCATGCGGTTTTGCACAATCAAGAAACTGTTTCTTGAAAACTTTGAATTTATCTCCCGATTTTACAGTAGAAAACTTCAAGCTTAAGCTTGCATTTTGGTTTTCTCCATTAAAGACATCGTTAAGAATATCTCAATCTGAAGAGGTCGTTGGTTTTTAAAACGAATTTTGCGTTTTGCAATGTACGTCGTCATCCGTGGTGTTGCGTTAAATGAATAAATTGATTAAAGGGCAAATTGCGAACTACCTTCCTTCCGTTTTCGGTAGAACTAAAGTGATAAAGAATTAGAAATTTGTTTGGTTCCAACTGACAAAGCTTGTAACAATACAGCAAGAGAACTTAAAAGAACTTCGTTTTAATTCCACATCTGATAATCCAACCTATACTCACAGTTCCTTTTCAAAACAAGATGTGTTTGTGAAACACTGTGCCCTCGATGGTAACACAGTTCTGGAGTAGGACGTAGACTACAGTGCAATAGCTATGGCCAATGTTAAAGTTTTTCAAATGTAGGTAAAAGGTCACAGTTGATGTCACATGATCAAAAATTTCTGTACCAATGGAAAGGTCTTGTCATAATGAACACTCATGTCAAACATTAAAGGGTTAAAGTTGACAACAAACAAACAGACAGACAGACAGGACAAAAACAATATATCCCCGGGATCTTTCAATCCCGGGGCATAAAAATGAAATTCTTCAAAATCACTCAAAATTTAAACACTTTTAACACTCCAGTCAATGGAAGTGAAGTGGATTTACCGTATCTATACTGGATTCCAAAACTTCATAAAAATCCTTACAAAGATATATTGCGGGGTCCAGAAAATGTTCAACCAAGTCCCTATCCTTACTCCTCACCTAAATGTTAACTGGTGTGAAGAAACTTCAAACGTATTGTGTGCTACAGTATATTCAAGAAGTGGTGTAAATCAAACGTGGATTATAAAAAAACTCCAAAGAACTTTTAGAAAATTTAAGATCTCAAAACTTTTCAAATATCAATAGCGTCAAAACATACGACTTTTCTGCGCTTTATGGAACCATTCCTTACGAAAAATTTATATAGAAAATTCAAAAAAGGTGCTTTTTGACATCATAGACAATTACCTCCTCAATAAAAATAGAACTATTTTTGTATATTTTCATTGTGATAGGTCGTCTATAAAATTACTTTGTTAAAGATCATTCTGATTTTACATATATTGTTGCTATTATTAAAAAGATGCTTAAATTCCTCATTGACAATATCTAAGTAGTCTTTGTAGACCAGGTCTTCCAACAATCTGTTGGAAATTCGATGGACACTAATTGTGCTCCTTAATTAGCCGAACTTTTTTATATTCTTATGAAGCAGAATTTATACAAAAACTTCTACACAAAATGAAGAAAGCTCTTGCGGTGGCCTTCAACTCAACATTCAGATATATCGACAGTTAACCTCCTAGGCACCTGATCCCACCCCTGGTGTTTCCAGAGGTCCATGTTCTTGCCCTGTTCACGATTTGTTTTGTTTACTGGAATTATGAGATTGATCACTGTTATCTCCACCTTTTACATTGTTAAGTGTCTGAGGCCAACTTTAAAATATTGTTTGCTTGCCCTCTCCCGACCCAGGATGAAAAATTTGGGTCGGTAGGTAGGTGGGGATTTTTTTTTTCAAGAAAATTTCATCATCAATGCTGAATTTTCAAAATATATTTTCCGGGATGCATAAAAAATAATTGCTTCATGGAGGTTCAAAAAAGTTTTGAGTCGGGCCATTCTTAGCCAGTCGGTCGGGAGAGGGCAACCAAACAATTTTTTAAAGATGACCTAATAGAACTAGCTTTTAGGCATGCGTAGTATACATTAAAAATGTTGCAATGCGGATAAATAGGACTAAACAAAATTTATATTCATGTTTATCGAAATAAAACCGTAAATGGCTTGATGATTTCTATTATTGAAAAACTACAGTAGTAAATTCAAAGGCCTGCCTTAATGAATAAGGCCAGGTAAAAAACATCAAAGCAAAACAAGAATACCTGTAGCTGTCCAAATGTTAACAATGGGAGTGTTCGACATAAGTCTCACTTATTAGACTCTCCTCGGCGCTAACATTCCTCGGACAGTCTGATATCTGACGTAATGGACAGTTTTCAGTTATAACTATTACATATCAATGAACTTATTGTCAATCTTGAAAAATCTAGCATAAATACCGGCATATTTGGTACAATTAGCAACTGTCCAATACTAGTATATAGACGATATCAAATGCATTGGAGTCACTTCAGCTGCACTACAATATTCACTTGATAGGCCAGTAGGAACCGGGGGCAAGGGGGAAGCCCCCCTCCTTTTTTTTTGCTTTGCTTGTCAAAGAATTTTTGTAAGGTTGTGTTCCCAAACTAGATTTGTTATTAAAGTTACATGCCCCCCAAAGTGAAACTGAAATGGTTTCCTACGGACCTGCTTGACATTTCATATAAATATTCTAGGATATGGTGCTTTTTTCTTCAATCTCCAACTTTTAACAACCTTTCTGCAACCAATTATCAATGCCTGAATGTTTTTCAACACGTTATTTGAAAAAGATACTCAGAACCTTCCTATACAGACAAGTGTTTTCAATACCCTGTCTATCAAATCTGAGACCTGGGGCCCGTTTTACGACTATAAGACGAAAAACTTGAATTGAGTGAAATCTTGCAGAATAAATGATTTTGTTAAAAATTGCATGTATAAAATATTTTTTTCGAATTGTTCTTTTAAAAAAGAATGAACCCATTTTCAAATATAGTAAAAAAGAAAGTTATACCCAAGATTTTATTTTGTCTTAGTCGTAAGTTCTTTTGTAAAACGGGACCCTGTTGCGCGACTTTGTTGCATGGATCATCGTTTGATCAGAGTTTATAATAATTCTCAGAGGGCATTTCCATTATGGAGACTGACGACTATGCATTTGATTCTGAAGGGGAAAGGGGGGGGGGTCATTTTTTTCTTCTAGTTATTAGATTATTAATTTTCATGCCACTGAAGGACAGATTATTGATTTCCAAAATAATCAGGGACAAGTTATTATTTCATTATTTACTGATTTTCTTTTTTTGGCGCTACAATGTGCGTACACAACTGGGTCCCGTTTTACAAAAGAACTTACGACTACATTAATTTGAAAAAAAATTATTAATCTCTTTTTAAGGAAATTTGAATGATATTTTTATGCAAGCAATATTGAACAGAATAGTTAATTTGCAATATTTCAATATGAGGTTAAGATTTTGGTCTCGGTCGTAAGTTCTTTTGTAAAACGGGATCCAAGCTGATTTCCGTATTACAGTATCGATATTTGTCTTCTAATTATTTGATCCGCCTAGCTGCGAACAGCACATCTGTCGTCACAATTATATTCCAGCGTGACGTCATATTCTATGCATCAAGCCAAACCACATTATGGATCAGACAGGACAAGCAAAGAATTTTTCAACTTTTCTGCGAAAGGGAGAGGGTATGTCTGTGCATAAAATGATATTAGATCATTTTTGGAACTTTAAGTGCAAAAAAGATCAAGCATCAATTATGTCTACTTAAATATTTCACGTTTGTTTGGGTGGGGGTAAATCACTCCTTTCATTTTTGCTGTGCACAACAGGAATTATAGAAGTAGAGCAAAATGATCTGCGTTTCCGAAGGACTAGTCAAGCAGCCATTTTGGCCCAGCTTCCCAGCAGACAAGCGCTACACTCTGAAGCTGGTCTCAGCATAGAACGACGTTTGTCATGCACTGCGAGAAGAAAGTCAGAACTCTCATTTCGGAGGGACTCAGCATCACCTTCGGTAGTGTATATATTATAGAGGATCATATATTATAATACTGAATTAATTATATTTGTTTGCAGGTGCCTTTATCTAATGTCCATTTTTTCTGTCTTGGAAAAGTTCTCATTTTCACAAAAATAATTGCAAGCAACAAAATTTAAAGACAAACTTGTATAAGTTAAGAAAAAAAGAAGAAAAAATGAAAAACACACCCATCCCCTCCACAAGTCTGGGAAAAAAAGACCCCAGGCGCGGATCCAGGAATTTTTTCCAAGGGTGGGGTGGGTGGGGGGTCCACCCCAGTCAAAAATTTAAAAAAAAAAATTTCCTAGATCTACCCAGCAATTTTTTGACAAACAAAGCAAAAAAAAAAAAAAAAAAAAAAAAAAAAAAAAAAAAAAACCTAAATTCCCTTCCCAAACGTATTTAACCCAGAAAATTTCTTGACAAGCAAAAAAAAAAAAAAAAAAAAAAAAAAAAAAAAAAAATATATATATATATATATATATATATATATATATATATATATATATATATATATATATATATATATATATATATATATATATATATATATAAAATATATATATATATATAAATATATAAATAAATAAAACATCCCCCTATAAAATCCATTTTTTAAAGGTGAAAAAAAAGCTATTTGGTGGTGATGGGGGTGCATGTTTTCTAGGGGGGAGGAGGGTCCAAAGTCATTTTTATATGCTACTAACAGTATATACTTTTAATAACTCTGCAAATTCCAGCGGGGGGGGGGGGGGGGGGGGTACCCTGCCCCCTCTAGATACCCCCCTTCAAAAATAAAAATTCATTGTTTGTGGTATAATGTAGGCAAAGTACAATGTACAGATACCAGGTTACACTTCTTTTTGGTACCTTAAATTCAGGTAGATGCAAATTAATATTGTTTAAAGGTTTATGTGTGATTCAATGAGTTGTCCTTAGTTTTACATATAGCTGAAACCAAAGGTTCAAGAGAGTTTTTTTTTACTTTTCTATTGTTCATTATCTGTCTGTCTATTAACTTTTCAGCTAAAAATATCATTTCAAAACGGGCCACACTAAATCATCTTAATATAGGCCTTTCAACTAATTTTTCAAGTTATACATATGGTAAAAAACAATTGATAGATATATTTGTAGGTACATGAAATTCTTAAAAAAAGATTATAACCTATACATACCTTTGATTAAATCATAAAAAAATTAATTATTAATATTTGATTTGTACGATGTGATGTTTTAAGGACAGGTAACTCAAATGTAAAACATGACCAACAAAGTGCCGATTTTTGAGTTATCTTTTATAGGAATGACATATAGGCTGCTTCATTTGGTATTGTTATGTACACAAAAGGGTTCCTTATATTCTTTGGTACACAAAAGGGTTGACCAAAACAAGGAAAATGCCTTCACTCTATACCTGGAATAACGGGATCAATGAATGGGGAACGGACTATATTCAAGATTTTTAACTCTTCCTAACAGTTGTTACAAAAAAGAAAATATAATGCTATGTTTTTTTTTGTGCATTGTTGTGCTTCATCTATAAAGATAAATATTTCTACAATTAAATGCAACAATAAATTATCTTATTCTTTTCACTAAGCAAGAAAAAGAACGATCAAGTATAAAAATTTAATCAGATCAAAATTAAGAAGGGGGATGGATTTCACTTTATATTTTTATTAAAAATTTCACTTATATATTATTGTACAGTGTCTATAACTACATGATAATTGAGTTGAACATTTGAACTAAATTTTAAAACCACTGGATTTCCCTGTCAGTGAAGGAACACTTGGGAAATGCTAAAACTTCAGATTCTTAAAAACAATTAGCTTCCTCGGACCCGCTCTAAACAAGTTCCGGTAATGGGTTATCGTTCTTTTCATCGAACCCTAGCGGCAGTTGAAAGGCCTACTTAATATGCAAACATTGAAGTTCTTTCTTCAAACTTTAGACCATAAAGTTAGAAGGGGGCTAAAATTAGGGATCAAATTTCATATAATGCATGTATACAGGGGGAAAAAAAATCTTTTTATAAAAATCTCTTTCCACCAGAACAGCAAGACCATGTTAGTCATAATGATAAAGAATGGATTCAAGTTTTGTGAAATCATAACTTCTTGGGTCTAGGATGGGGCAACAGTATGGGGGCAAATTATTTTTCAAGGGGAAAAATTTTTGAAGATGAACAACAGCAGGGCCAAGGTGAGCCTTGTGGCCCATAGGCCTCTTGTTTGATGTAAAAATTCAAAACTACTCATGTTTAATTGTATATCCTTGCAAAAAGAACAGGTGATAGCTCAATCATTACAAATGAACTAATTAATATATACACTTTAAGATTAAATTACTATCTGACATGTCATATAACTAAAGATGTTAATATTTTAAAAAAAAATATCTAGGTACTGTTTGATGTGGAGGATGAGGAAGAAGATGATGAGAGGATCATGGCCACGAGACGAATGTCTCACTTGATGAGCATGACTGATGGTATTGATGGGAAAATGGATCAGTGGGAGAGAAAACAGAGCATCAAGAGTATGGTGGCCAATATCCAGACCAAACGCAAATACAGGTTTTATTTTCAAAAAAATTACTTTTTCAATATATAAATGTTATATATTTATGTATTACTTTGACGCATTTTACACATCAGGACAAGGACTGCATGTGTCAAACTAAGGAAATTGGTTTGGATACATATTTGCACAGTTTGAGACTGGACCACTATGGGCAGCTCTTGGAATTTCAGGCTTGTTAGCTTGAAATTTTGAGCCAGTAAGGCCCAGATATATCAAACTTGTCAGTTGATTTGAAAGCATCTGCGGTATTCTTGGAACCTCTGAATATGAGAATGTCTTTGTTGTTTGTTGTTAGGTCATTCGTTGCACAACTTGTGGAACTTGCATTGATCGAACTGCACAAGGTTTATGCATTTTGGTACTGCTAGGTGTGACCTCTCAATAAATTGTCATAGTGATTAACCTTCAGGATTTTACAGATACTTATTTTAAGAATCATCAAATCAAATCATAAAATCTTGTTATTTGATGTATCCAAGGGCTTTAGGGTATGATAACCTATAAAAGTAGGTCAATGTAACCCCATTTTACTAATTCAGTGGCTACTCAGTCAAGTTTGTATGTACATTTTTGCATACTACATGTATGCAAAAATTTAGATATTATCAAATAATGACAAATTGATGCATATAGGATAACATTGACCTGTCTTTATTTGAAATTTACATTGTGCAATGTCCTTTATTTTAAATGACTTCCACAAGATGGGCCCTAGAATCATTCATTAAACTTTGACACTTGAAGCAACTTTAAAATAACGTTTAATGTATGGCAACTAATTTATAGGTCAACGTGACTTACCTATGGATTTTTATTGCAATCCTTATCACTGGAAGCAATCATAAGCTTCAATTTGTGACATCTTATATGGAGGTCAGAATGACCTCATTGTGGGGTGGAGCATATTGTAAATGTAGCATGAAAAGAAAGACAACTCTCGTTTGCAGACTTGGATTTAAAGTTTAAAGTGCCTCTCGTTTATTTCATAATTCTTGTTCATATTTAGACAGGTGATATTCGTACCTGAGATTAGTTTACATGTATAATTTTTTATGCTAAAGGGCAGATCACTCTAACTGCATATAGGTACATGTAACATGGAATTGGAACTCTTCTGTGTGCAGTGTAAAGAAGGTCCTTAAGGCTTAAATAAACTTAAGATAACCTGAGCAATGTTATATTGCACAAATAGAAAGGGAGAATCATAGGCAATATAGAATAATTATATTTAAACACTAAATAAATAAATCAATATTAATCAAATTTTACAGATTTACCAAACAGAAATTCAGTTTGTCCATATTTAAAGTAAATTTTTATGCTGAAGTGATAAATAATTGATAGCATTGATCTTGGGGAATCCCTGGGGTTTTGAACTAATGATTTTTTTCTGATAATGAACAGGAAGTAAAATGCCCATATCATGCTTTCAATGTCAATGTCAAGTATTAAAATAAATCATTATTGACACCTTGTTGGTGCAGATATTTACACATGCCTCAAAGCTTTAAATCATATAGAAGACTTCTAAAGCAGACTTCATTTTTTTGGATTGATTTTTTTTAGTAAATTTTTGATTTTAACTGAATTTTCCTCTCATGGCCAAAAAAGGGGGGAATGAATATTTTGGTTTAATTTTTAGGTCACCTGAGTCACTCAAGTGACCTATTCCTATCTGTTTTCGTCCGTCGGCGTCCGTCGTGCGTCGTCCTTCAGTCGTAAACTTTTGAACATTTTCAGCTTCTTCTCTTGAACCACTGAACCAATTTCAACCAAATTTGGCATATAGCATCTATGGGTAAAGGGGAACAAAAATTGTGAATTTCATGGTCCCTGCCCCCCTGGGGCCTGAGGGCTGGGGCTAAAACCACCAAAATTAATGCAGTCTTTAAAAATCTTCTTCTTTACTCCTAAACATCAAGCAGTCAAACTGTTGGCATGATTGTAGTAAGCATTGAGCCCTCTACCAAAATTGTGAAATTCATGGCCCCAGGGTCAGGGGTTCTGGTGCTAGGGTGGGGCTATATAGATCATATAGTGAAAGTGCATTATTCCTTTGAAAATCTTCTTCTCTGCTCCTGGGTATTAAATAAAGTAACAAAGTACATAGTTATGATGAGCAAGAGTGCCTCCTCGAAAATTGTGAATTTCATGACCCCAGGGTCAGAGGTTCTGGTGTTAGGGCGGGTCTCTATTGATTATATATTGAAAATGGATTAATTCATTGAAAATCTTCTTTGCTCCTGGGTATCAAATAAAGTAGCTAAGTACATAGTTATGATGAGCAAGAGTGCCTCTTCCAGAATTGTGAATTTCCTGGTCCTAGGGTCAGGGGTTCTGGTGTTAGGGCGGGGCTCTATTGATTATATAGTGAAAATGCATTAATTCTTTGAAAATCTTCTTCTCTGCTCATGGGTATTAAATAAAGTTACTAAGAACATAGTTATGATGAGCTAGAGTGCCTCTTCCAAAATTGTGAATTTCATGGCCCCTGGGTCAGGGATTCTGGTGTTAGGGTGGGTCTGTATTGATTATATAGGGAAAATGCATAATTTCTTTCCAAATCTTCTTCTCTGCTCCTGGGTATTATTCAAACAAAGGAAGTGCATGGTTATGATAAGGAAGAATACCTCTTCCAAAATTTTGAAATTCATGGCCACTGGGTCAGGGGTTCTGGTGAAGAGGGGTGGGGACTCTAATTGATTATATAGTGAAAATGCATAATTTCTTTCAAAATATTTTTTCTACTACTGCTTATAAAGCAAAGAAACAAGTATATAGTAATGATGAGCAAGGGCTCTTCTTCCAGAATTGTGAGTTTATGGCCCCTGGGTCAGATGTTCTGGTATAAGGGTGGGGCTTTATTTATTCAATAATATAGTGAAAATGTATTTCTTTGAAAATCTTCTATGCTTCTGGGCATATTCGAGGCAAACATAGTAAAGGTTTTAATATGCAAAGGTATTTTTACCAGAATTTTGAACACCTGGACCATTTAGTCAAGTGTTCTGGTCCTGGCCAGGGCTCTATTAACTTGTATTCTGCTGAGCAAAGTTATTCCCCTTTACCATTCACCTTTCATAATTAATCACTGTAAACAATGTATTTGAAAGGTTAACAGAATAAAAGAATTATGCAAGAAAATTTATACAAAAAGTACTTTCATAGTTTTAATGATCAGGTAGACTTGGAAATAATAGATGAATAAAAACAAAAAGACAAAAATAACTTATCTTTTTAAATGTTCTTCAAAGGCCAAGAGAGGCCAATGTGAGAAGTAATAATATGGGGTTAAAAATAGACATTTTGTTAATAGTCTGCATGGTAATACATGTAGTGATAAATGGGGGACAGATAGATACTAGATCAATTATTTTCTTTATGCTAATCATACTATTTTTCTTGCTTTTGGGCAAAAAAGCTTCATTTATCAGTTTATGGATCCTCTTAATTGTTGTATTGTACTCAGGTGACCATTAAGGCCCTTGGGCCTCTTGTTTTTCATATAGATATTGAAATAGTCTGATATCTTATGAAGCCAATAATTGTAAAACAAATAAATTTCTGATTTAAGAAAAAAAATTAGCTTAAAAAAACCAAACAAACAAACAAAAACACACAAAAAAAGAAAACAAAAAGCAAATAAACAAATATAAAAGAAAAGATTGAAAATAAATAAATATTGATACTAAATATTCAGAAATTAAATAACAGACATTTCCTTGATAGCTATATATTTTAAATATAAATGTCATTGTAGTTTTGATATTGTAACTTTTTGTGTGTCTATTTATCTTATCAGTTCTCTTTACATAATGATAAACACTATTAAACACTCTGTTCAACTGTGTACTGTCAGTGCATTTGTCTTAACCTTGTAATGCTTCAAACTTCATTTTTGCCTATTCCTGCACACATGCTTTTTTGTGACACAAGAAGAATGTAAAAGTTCGATCATTTGTCTTATCAGTATTGAATGTCTTATCTATAGCATTGTGCAGGGGGACTTAGGTCCTGTCACAAACTGTGTACCCAGTCAGCCTAGAGTTTTTTAAGTGCAGTCCCAAATCACTTTTTTTTTAAATTTGAAATGGCACATCAGTGGCAAAAGAGAGAATTTGACCAGTACCATGGTCAGCCAAATAAAGGTTATTATAATCCAGGTTTTGAAGAAGACATTGTCAGAAGGGGACCAGATTATCAGTTCCAGAGGGATTCTTACCTGGATGCTAGAGATGATTTTGATTCCCCAGACTATCAAGATCCAGATTTATATAGAAGTAGTGATTTTGAGTCACAGAGGAATAGAGATTTTGACTTGAGGAATGGGGACTTTCATTCCTCAAAGAATGGAGACTTTAATTTACCAAGAAATAGAGACTCTAACTCTACAAAGTATAGTGATTCTGACTCATCAGGATATAGAGACTTTCACTCTTCAAGGAATAGAGGTTTTGATTCATCTAGGAATGGAGACTTCAACTTATCTAGGAATGGAGACTTTGATTCTCCAAGGAGTAGAGACTTTGATTCTCCAAGGAGTAGAGATTTTGATTCACTGAGGAATAGAGACTTTGACTCCTCAATGTCTCAAGATTTTGATTCACTTAGGTCAAAGGAGATTAGCACACCAAGACATTTTGAAGAAAGATCATACAGAGGAATTGAAAATGATGCATACAGTGATGGTAATGAAGAGTTTTTCCCTACAAAGATAACTCCAACCAAGTTTGATAAAGAATCAGGGGGATTTAGAAGAGATGGTGAAGAGTATGAGCGACTTAACCCAAGATACTATGATTACATGGACACTGGTTTCAGGAGAAGACATCATGAAGTAACACAAAGCAGTGACAGTGATGGCGAAACTTTTAATACCAGAATTGATGTTGACCATACTCAGAAGGACTTGGATGGGAAACAAACTTTAGTGGTCAGAAAGAGAAAAATGGAGGACAATGCTGACCAGCAGAGTGAGACCGCCTCACAGTCCAGCAGTCTAAAAGCTTTTGCCAGAAAGGGAACCTCCCGCATGTCTGCTTTTGTCCATACTTTGCCAAGCAATGAAAGAAGGATAAAAAATTTTCAAAATAGAAAATTGGAGGCTCTAGGCAAAGCCCATAATATAGAAGAATACACAGGGATTTACAGGTATAGGTTTTAGAACAAGAAAATAGTTTAGTGATGATGTTTCAGGTTGAATTTTGATTACCATTAATTCACATATGAAGATATTTTAGTACAAAACTTAACATATATATATAACTTTTCAAAATATTTTATTGGGTGTATTTGAATCTGACTTCTTTATTGTTTGGTTTATTATCATTTTTCAATGAAAAAATGTGACAATTCTTCAGAAAGTTGGTTGTGAAAGATTTGATGGTTTTTTTTGCACAGTTGATCTAATGTTCAATCAAACAATAAAATTGTAATGTACTGTAAATCATGCAAGTGTTATTTGCAACAGTTTTTATTCACAATTTGAAATCCATCTGCAATTATTAATTTACATGACTGAGGAATCTAAATTCTGCATAAATACCAATTAAATAACTGGTTCACACTGCAAAATATCTAAGAGGAAAAGAAAGTCACAAACTTGCAGATATTTCTTGCAAGCTAATAAAAAGAGCTCTTTGTTCACATATTACTGTATCTATTCATTTTCTCAAACAAACATATTTTTTTGTACTTTATGCTCTGTGAATTAAAAAACATGAAATTTTCGATGTATGCAGAATTTTTCTAGAAAGTGATTGTAATATTGTACTGTCAATTTGACAATTTCAAGATCATGATGCATTTTTTTTTCGGGGGGGGGGGGGGGGGGGGGGGGGGGGTAGCAACTTTAATGTTTATAGGGCAAGTTTGCACTGATATAAAAATATATGTTTAGATAGGTAAATGCATATTTTGCTTTGTGAAGAATTTTTTTCCATGTAGATAAATTCATTGATCAATATTGGTGATATTTAGAATTTTACTTCCTTACCCAAGGATTTTATTCATTTAAGGAACGTTTTTAAGTTTTGTGTGAGTTATTGGTCTGTAAATCACACAGACTTGTCACGTAGGCATATTTCATGAAGTGCGCTAGCACTTCATGAAAAATATGTCTACGTGCAAGTCTGTGTGATTTACACACCAATAATTCACACTAAACTTAAAAACATTCCTTACATTTACATTTTACGTGTTCAAAAGCACAAAAAATATACTCAATGTTTGAATTATTCACTGCCCTTTATCGTTACATTTTTATTAAAGTCTCTATAGCTCATTGTGAAGTCACTTTAGCGCGAATTCCTCCCTGCATATTTCTACGCGTGAATATACAAGAATATGGCATTCAAATCAATTTCACAGTTGGCTTAGTAGTAAACAGTAAATGTAAATATGTCGATATAAGTTTAAAGTGCCAAATATTCAGACCATTTTTGTAACCTGCATGGTTTTGAGCTGGTTTTTTGATATCTGTGTATATGAATTGTTTTTCTGTAAGCATTTCCAATCCAAACTGACAACTTCATTTTAAGTTATTAGAATTCTTAGATGTTTGTTCTTTCTTTAACATTAATTTTGTAGGAGCATTTTAATTTCCTTTTCTGAAGTTTAGAATGCCAGGTTTTCCAAACTTTGCATACTTAAGGACATTGGCAAGTCAGGGCTTTCCGGAGAAAAAAGGTTAAATACATGGGTTTTTTCACTTGTAAAATAGTGATTGAGAGTGATCTCCCGTGTAGAATTCTCTAAGCGGTGAAAACCAGTAAAGCGTATGTTATAGAGGTAAACAAAAGCACGCGTACTTCCTTCAACGGGTAGAATCTTCTATACAGCAAGAAAGAAAAGTAGTAATGGCTTTGTTGTACATTGTATTCAGGGACAAAGAGCAAGCAGGTCGTCATTTACCATAGTTATGCTCAGTATGCTGGGAAGGGCAAAGATGTGACATATGCTGAAAGGTAGGTCGACCATGCCGACTGAGAACAGTTCTTAGGTCGTGTGAAGGAATCAGCATTTAGTAATTACGAATAAAAGTTAAAAATAAATCCATGTCAATATTTTTATGACAATGTATTTCAATCAATTCAGTCAATTACATGATAAAAACAATCAACCAGTCACTTGACCAATTTTAGCTGTTAAGGGACGCAACTCAAAAATGATGATCGGTGCCGGTATATCCATGTCTTTTTTCTATATATACATTTTCAACCAAAATATCTAGAAGTCATAGGAAATGAAGTTACAATAATGTATACAATACAAAAACTGTATGAAATAAATGGGTTTTGAAGAAATATTATGGTGAAAATTTATGTAGGTCCCTTTTATCAACATTTTACATAGGAAATGCATTAAGAATTGTAAAAACACTAATTTGACAAAATCTAAAAAAGAATGCTGGATTAGTAGGTAAAACGATCCAGAATATAGCCTATTTAGTACATTTAAACCTACTCAAAAGTTCTTGAAAAATTCTATACAATAACCAGGAACCTTGCCAATGTCCTTAAACAGCTAAGTGTTTTTCAAAGATGTTTGTTTCTTTTGAAGTTGGAATTTAATTCAAAATGTGTACAAGGGAATCTGAAAAAAAAATCTTGTGTTCTTTCCACCAGCTATTGTTATTCTTCCTTTATCCACATTGTTTCATGTTTAGTCTTTTGATTTTCCTAAAAAAAAAAAAATGCAGGCATTTGTTTACCAATTAATCTACCAATGTTAAGACTAAACTGCAAGCATATTTTTCTTTCTAGCTTTTCTGGTGAAAGATAAGAAGTGTTTGTTTGTAAATCTGTGTGTTCCTCTTTAAAATATTTTTTTTCCAAAAATTCTTCTCCTCCTTAAGTTTTTGACTTATTTTAATAAATCTAGGTACACATGTGATGAATACAACAGGATACCTGATTCTATGCATTGGTTTTGATTTGATAAAAGATAAAAGTGTTCTATTTTAAGTAACAATGCAACACCAAAGTCAAATTCTACTCCTGTAGTGTTTAGCTCACCTGAGCCAAAGGCCTAGTGAGCTTTTCTGATCAAAGAGTATCTGGCACCCATCTGTCGTCTGTAACCTTTCCACATTTTCAACTTCTTCTCAAGAACCACTGGGCCAATTCCAACCAAACTTGCCACCTTCTTGGGTGAAAGGGATTTAAGTTTGTTCACAGAAAAGTGCCACTCCCTCTTTCAAGGGGAGATAATTTAGAATGTGTGAAAATTTGGTGGCATCTTTTAAAAATCTTCTTCTCAAGAACCACTGGGCAAGAAAAGATGAAACTTATGTGAAAGCTTCATTACATACTCTAAATTCAAATTTTTTCATATCATTTCCCCGGGGGTAGGACAGGGCCACGAGAGGGGGTCGGAGTTTTACGTAGGAATATATAGGAAATGTAAAAATCTTCTTCTCGAGAACAGCAAAGCTATGATTAGTCATATTATTATAGAATTATCCTCAGGTAGTGTAGATTCAAGTTTGTTCCATTCATGATCCCTGGGGGTAGGACAGGACCATAACAGGGGGTAAAAGTTTACCATAGAAATATTTAGGAAATCTTTAAAAATCTTCTTCTCAAGAACAACAAAGCCATTATAGAGAAGCAACCTTAGATATTGTAGAATCAAGTTGTTCAAATTATAACCCCCAGGGGTTGAGGGTGGGGGGGCATGATAGAGGGTCAAAGTTTTAAATAAGAATATATAGGAATCATCTTGAAAAAATCTGCTCATGAACAGCAAAGCCATGATTAATATATTATTATAGAAGCATCCTCAGGTAGTGTAGATTCAAATTTGTTCAAATTCAGGGTGGGGCTACAATGAGTGATTAGAGTTTTACATAGGAATACATTGGGAAAAAGTTTTAAAATTCTTCTGCTCAAGAACACAAAGCCATAAATAGTAATAATAATAATTGATATGGAAGCATTCTAAGGTAGTGTAAATTCAAGTTGTCTCCCTCCTGTTAACTTTTTTTTCATTACTGAACTGATTTCTGCTTTTTTCCTAACCAATGTGTGCTCAGGTGAGCGATGTGGCCCATGGGTGTCTTGTTAGCTTACTTGATCCAATTAATTTGATATAAATATAATTATTTTTACTTCTGATCTGAATAAGCCTAGACTTGAATATTTTTGTACATTTGAACATTATATATGTGTGTTATATTGAGTTCAGTATGTGATTTAGAAACTAACTTCTTGATTATTTTTGTTCTAGAGACCTGATTTTGCAAGAACCTGTTCAAAGTACTCATGGCTTGTTGAAGTACCGTAGAATAAAGGTAAGAGTTTCTTCAGAAAGTATATGGGATTTGTAACAGTTTCAGATACATGTTCATACATGTATATGGTAATAATGAGACTAATTTAAAAGTACATTAATTAAACAAGATAATATTTATTAATGTAATGATTGATAACTCTGGAATAAATTACATATATGTTTTACATAAATTCATGACATGTTACTACATTTTTTGCATATGAAGGCATGGCAGAATTTTAAACAACAAACCAAAAATGTGCTCTACCAATTAGAATTGTGGTCAGGGGCCTTTAAAGAAATAGAAGGTAAGAGGCAAAAAGTAAAGGCTCTTTGAAAGAATTTGAAATGGGGAAAGAGGGATAACTCTAAAAAGAATTCCTTGGTAAAGGATGATAACTCTGATGATTTGGCTCTGCTGCAGAAGATAACAAGTCAACACAGCCATTTGTAATTCTGGGAATTTGAGTAAGATTTATATAGAAGTAAAACTAACTTTATAATGATTATTGAAAATAAACAAATTCCAGAAAAAACACCCTTTGAAAATTACCAATCATAAGACTATGCGACAATATCTATTTAATTATATTATTATCGTGTAGAAAGATGTTTGCTTGAATCTTTTTAGGTCATTTTGGGACATCTGTAATGACATACTTCAAATTCATGCGATGGCTGTTGTTTCTGAATTTTTATATGATGGTCATTATGTTGTGTCTGACCATGTTGCCACACCTACTGCGACTGAATCACCCTTCACATTTCTACAAGACCGTCCCAGTAAACATCACCAACTCTTCAGGGTTCCATGAGGAGGCTGTTAACTGTACAGAACAGTACAAGGACTTCGTCAGCAATACTGTCTCCTCAGAGGGGGGTGTTAATAAGTTCCTGGATGTACTGCAAGGAACAGTAAGTTAGATACAGTTGAACTTTGATATCTGGAACACCAATATCTCAAACACCATGGATATGTCAAAGTTTTTTGAAAGTACCAACCACTTAATTACTCTTAAAGTATTTTACCCCTGCTATCTCGAAGTCTTTGATATCTCGAAGGTTTTTCTTGGTCCCATTGTGTTTGAGATGACAAGAGCTACAAATTTTTGAAAAAAAGAAAAATACAATTATGATACATTTCCAATCTGATGTGATAGCTAAAAGAGCAATTTTAAGCATCTCTTGTTATGAATATGCCTTTGTTTTAACTAACAAACACACTGTGATCCTACATTTCCCTCCGAATTCAGGGCTGGATGGAAGATACAGTGTTGTTTTACGGAACCTACTTCAACAAGACTTACCATTATGCCTTTTCAGATGGAGAGAAGACATACAACATGAGTTTGTCTTATCTATTGGCCACTGGTGCAGCATTTCTTGTCAGCTTCTTCCTTATTGTCAAAAAGTAAGTCACTATCACTCAGATTTTTTCACCTCTATGCAGCAGTATGTACACCTTTTTTATCTGCCTTTTTAGTATTAAACACCTTTCATAGGACAGATGTCTTTTCATCTGTCATTTAATTTTATGAACAGTTTATATACATGTACATGTATGAAAAACATTACATTTTGGCAATAACCTTTCTAAGAGAGGTTTGTTTTAACTTGCATGTGGATCTGTCTGTTTGTTTTTCTGCCTTTAGAAAATTGGTTTGGCAAGAACTGTGTAAATCATGGACAAAACTGTAGACTTAATACAGAAATGCAATGAGACTCCTATAAAGTAATTGTTTATGGTCAGATGGGAAGTAGTATTGAAAAACTACTTGTACTTGCTTCTGAAATTTCTGATGTGTCACATGTTTCAGTTCAGCCAAAGGCGTGAAGTCTACTGTAATGGATGAGGAAAGCGGTCAGGTGATACAGTTTTGTAATAAGGTGTTTGGAGGATGGGACTACTGTATATCAGATAAGAAAGCAGGCAAACAAAAACACAAGAACCTGTTACTGGAACTAAGGGTACATCAGTTAATGTTTTTTATGTAAAAAAAAAAATCACATACATTTGTAAAAATTGAGACATGTGCCTTTATTACTGCAGACATTTTCTCTCATTTGTTTACGTTACAGTTGAAATGCTTAAGTTATTTACCAAATTTTTGAAATGTCTCCTTATTTTTACCTCACCTGAGCTGAAAGCTCAAGTGAGCTTTTGGGATTACCCGTTGTCCGTTGTCCGTCCGTCTGTAAACTTTTCACATTTTTGACTTCTTCTCAAGAACCACTGGGCCAATTTTAACCAAACTTGGTACAAAGCATCCTTGGGTAAAGGGGAGTTTAAATTGTTAAATTGAAGGGCCAAGTCCCCTTCAAAGGGGAGATAATCAAGAAAATACAAAAATTGGGTGAGGTCATTAAAAAATCTTCTTCTCAAGAACCACTGGGCCAGAAAAAGCTGAAAGTTATGTGGAAGCATCCTGGGGTAGTGTAAATTCTAAATTGTTAAAATCATGACCCCCGGGGGTAGGGCGGGGCCACAATAGGGAATCCAAGTTTTACATTGAAATATGTAGTAAAAATCTTCTCAAGAACCACTGGGCCAGAAAAGCTGAAAGTTATGTGGAAGCATCTTGGGGTAGTGTAGATTGTAAATTGTTAAAATCATGACCCCCGGGGTTAGGGCGGGGCTACAATAGGGAATTCAAGTTTTACATTGAAATATGTAGTAAAAATCTTTAAAAATCATCTTCTTAAGAACCACTGGGCCAGAAAAGCTGAAACTTATGTGGAAGCATCTTGGGGTTGTGTAGATTCTAAATTGTTCAAAACATGACCCCTGGAGGTAGGGCAGGGCCACAATAGGGAATCCAATTTTTACATTGAAATATGTAGTAAAAATCTTCTTCTCAAGATCCACTGGGCCAGAAAAGCTGAAACTAATGTGGAAACATTCTTGGGTAATTTTGATTCTAAATTGTTCAAATCATGACCCTCGGGGGTAGGGCGGGACCACAATAAGTACTACCAGGGGGGGGGGGGGAATCAGGTGAAAAACAGCAAGGCAAAAGTTACTCAGGTGAGTGCTGTGGCCCATGGGCCTCTTGTTGTGAAATAGTTATAAGCAGGATGAAATGTTCATGAATTTTGTAAATGATCTTTAATAATACAAATATACATGAGAATAAAATTTTTATGAGAAGATCAGGTCTCGTGTAATTGCGTGAAAATAAAGTTCTTGTGAACGTAAAAGTTATTTACAGTAATAAATACATTTCAACAGGATGTCTTTTGTCTATCTTTAGGGTGACTTAGAAAACCAGAAATTGTTGTGGAAAAAGGAGAGCAGAACTAAGCGTGAGCGGGCTAAGCTGTATTCTGTGAGGGTAGCTGTCAACTTACTGGTGCTAGGCTTTCTGGGTGGTTCTTTGTATCTTATTTACTACTGCAATAGCAAACTCACAGAGGTATTAACATTTTTTGAAAATATGATATTAGAACTTGATTCAATCTATCTTCAAGATAACTGTACTTGAATTTTTTTCTTGGCATTTCCTTTTCTTTTCATTTTATAAATATTAGAGGAATACACAACAAATATCCTTCCAATGCTTACACATTTATAAAACAGAATTTCCAAATCAAAACCCTGTCCTATAACCATGTCCTCTAGCATGATAGAACATAGCATCAGTTAACAAATTGCTTGATGAATTGTGATATTCCCAAAAATACTGACTGTGCAGAATATATGCTTGCAAGGTTTATTGTTACATTGTATTTGTATAAAACATTCATTATAATAAATATTGCATGAAGTTGGGGGTAACATTGAAAATCTAATGAGGTTGCACCTGGGTTGACAATGGTTTTCAAGGGGTGAATATTTAAATAATTTAATTGTTACCCTTTTAACTATATGCAATATTTATATAATATTTTCTTGTTTCAGTTGAAGAAATTGGTTGAGAATGAATCTCCAATTTTACAAACCATAATTGAGTTCCTGCCTTCAGTGACCATCACAGTTCTCAATGTCATTGTACCCATCATATTCAATAATTTAGTGAGATTTGAAGACTACCTGCCATATTTTGAGATGCAAATCACCCTTCTCAGGTAAAAGATACAAGACAGATAATTCAACTGTGTATATAAAAAAAAGTCAGTGAGGAAATATTATATATCTATTGAATGGGTTTGAAGGCAGCATGAGTTTTGTTGGACCCAAGAACCAAACTGTTTGCCTGAAGCTGTTAGGCCAAAGGCAAACAGTTTGGTTCGAGGGGTCGACAAAATGCATTTTGCCCGAGAACACAGTCAATAAATGTTTTGTTATACCTTTTACTTTTTATTTTGACATAACATGATGTAAATTTTGTTTACCCGCACTGCGGTCAATTCCGTTAAGTTCTGTCTGTTGAACTCCAACGAATGTAAATAAGATACAGCTGACCCCACCCCCTCTGTAATGTAAGCGGTCCAACGTGTCATTGACAGGTCCAATATCCCACTTTGCGCTCAAACATCGATTTTTTTACCGCTCAGCAAAATACTGGAAATGTTAGACTTTTTTAGTATAGAATTATATAGGAAACAATTTTTAAAGGTACAGTCAAACTTTGTTATCTCGAACTCAATGTGACTGAGAAAAAACTTCTAATTATCCGAGGATTCCAGATATCCAGGGTAAAATACTTAAAGAACAAGTGGTTGGGACTTGCAAATCACTTCAACATATGCATGGTATTCAAGATATCCGTGTCCAAGATACAGAAGTTCATCTGTATAACAATATAAAATGATCTCTATCCCAGAATGAATTGGATCCTATTTTTGTGTTGCCTGCCGAGCAAATTTATACCTAGGGATCACTTTTCACCCGCATCTGTCAGTCCGTCTACCTGTCTATCACACCTTTTATCTTGAGTACTTTAAGAGGAAAGGATTTGATATTTTGCTCATGTATTGCTAGGAACAATTGCTTTTGTAAAATACAGACTTTGTGACCTGTACACTTGACCTTTGACCTATTTTTCAAAATTCACGAAGTGCCAATATACACATATTCTTTGACTTTTGAGAGGTAAGCTTGTGCTATTTGGCAAGTGCTCAGACTTGACATGAGACATTTTGAAAAAATATCGACATTATATTATAATGTCCACTTGATCTTTACTTTCACTTAGCTATTTTTCAAGAATACTCCCAAAAATAATGTCTTTTGAATTTTAAGAGGTAGGGCTTTGATTACTGGCTTATATACATGTTTATGACCTCTTACACTTTCTTTCTAACTGTATTTTATGCATATACATTAACCACACAAACTGAAATTGAAATGCATTAATTCTGTTAGCAATCAGAACATCACCAGTCTTTTTTTGTCAAGTCTAGAAAAAAAAAACCCTTATTTTTTCTTGACTTGATGGAAAAGGCTAAATGGTGTTCTCAAATTGACAGAAAAGGCCATGTGATGATCCGATTGTTCTGTAAAATATTGGAAAAAAATTTGGATCGGTATAAAAACTTGGGCTCATTGTTGAATGATCAACTCATATAAATTATAAATTAGTGAATAAATATTTATTTCTAATAAATTCAATTCTTCATTTTAACTAGGGATGTCAACGAATAGTCGACTATTCGACAATCAGTCGAATGGACCGACGATCGAATAATGAAACGACATTCGAATATTATTTTAACTAAATAAATGCAATAAATGAGTGATAGATGAGATGGAATTCTCATCAAAAAATGAGAAACAATCTTTTTTCATATACAGTCGATAATTTTCCTCAACAAAAAAGGTAGATTTTCCATGTACGTATAGAAAGTACAGCAATTATAAATGCTTCACTACTGCGAGAATTAATTGTCAGTAACTGCCTGTGTTGTTTTTGTAATAAATTAACCAATATAATGGGCTTTGTAAAATTATTCATTGGACAATAATCTTTCGTTATTTTAAGTTTGCTCAAATGCAAGGAATAAACCTGTTTTGATACATCGATAATTATTAAAACAGTGCACTTACATTTTATTTCATAATAAGCTTTAAAAAATATCGGTTGGCAATTTTTTAATGCTTACTAAATAAAAAAAAATGACCGCATGTACAGGCCGATTTATGAATTCTATTTATGGGGAAATAATAAATTTTGGAGAATTAGGTTTCTAAATTTATTTCATAGAATCACGCTAATAGATCCATGCATTACGTTGCATTAATTTTGATGTTACTTTTTAAATAGAGATAAGTAAAAAAGGTTTCTGAGTATGTACCAATGAAGTATGAAATAAAATTTTATTTTCAGAAAATGTTCCGAATATTCGACTATCGTTCGAATAATGCAATCGAATGATCGACTAAGGAAAATAAATATTTTGACATCCCTAATTTTAACTGAATTTCTATTGATTTTTAACATTTATGATTAATATTATCTATCACAATCTTTTGTCCATGGATGTTTTTCCTTTCCTTCCTTGAACTAGTTATAATAGTTTTAAAGCTAAAGGGTGGTCATTTTTGTTCAAGCATTAACTGTTTGATGCTTTAGCAGGCAACACATGAATTCCTTGGAACACTCCAGTTATATGTTTCGATATTAGAATGTAATTAAGAATATAAAAGAATGTGACAATGATGGCAAAACATGATGGAGAAATACATGTTCTGATTTTTACTGTAGAACTGTGATTCTGAGACTAGCCTCTTTGTTTACACTGATGGTCTCCTTGTATCCAATGGTGGTGGAAAAAAATGAGGAGTATACGAGCAAATGTGGAAATAAGCACTGGGAATTTAAAACAATTAATTCTACCAACACATCAGACAGCAAAGGAAAAATACCAATTAAGGTAGATAACATGTACATTTAGACTTGGTGAGGCTACCTTTTTTAGTCCCATACTAGTGAAACCACAGAGGATGATAGAGGTTTTTCTTAATTTCCATCTGCCTGTCTATATGTTCCACTTGGTTATCTAGACATTTTTTCCTCGATTGAGTTGTTGAAGACTATGAAGACTTATTTTCGTTGTAGTGTTGGGAGACATATGTGGGACAGCAGATCTACAAACTTATTATCTTAGATTTCCTTGTTCCCTTCATACTGACATTTATCGTGGAGTATCCGAGAAGGTACTGTATATATGATTTATTTCATGTGTACAGTATTTGGCGGAAATTGATTTTTCAACAACTTAGCTTAGATTTGATTTAGCACTTTTTGAATGTGCTTTACATGAACATGTATACACAAGACATTTATCAACGTACTTGATTTAGTGAAAGCTGCTTTCCGCAAAAGGTGCTAAATAGAATACACATGCAGTCAAATGTAATAAGTTAACAGTATTTCATTTGTGTTTGATGTAACTTCAAATATGTTGTGTTAAAGTAACAGTTACTTCAATTTTTTTAAATATAATGCAGGCTGGTGTACCAAAGGTTTAAAGAAAATAAGGTGGTAAATATGATTGGACAGCAAGAATTTGACCTTCCCAAGGCCGTACTGGACCTTGTATACACACAGACACTCTGCTGGTACGTTTTACACTTTTTATCATGAAATCCAAATCAAAATCAGTGTTAAAGAATAAAGTACATGTATATATCTGGATGTACTATATTGGTGGTATGGTGTGCTCTGTTATCAAGAGACGTGTCCTGTTTTTGATTTTTTGTTCTTCAGAATGGAAAATAGAATGTTTTTCAGGAATTTTGTTTATGAAATATGTATACAGTGTATAAAAAGGACATATCTAATTTTAATACATGAACTGATACTTATAAAACCTCTCTATCCATTCAAGTGCTAGTATATAAACTGTGTTGTAAACTACATGTGCATATTTGCTTGTCTTTCAGGATGGGACTGTTTTTCTGCCCTCTTATTCCAATGATGGTATTTGTCAAGTGCTTTATCTTCTTTTATGTGAAAAAGGTTTGTGCTATTTCATTGCATTTCAAAAGAAAATTTCAGTTTTTTCTCCTCTGCTCATTGTATATGCATCCTATTTCAAAAGAAAATTTCAGTCCCTCCCCCCCCCCCCTCCAATTTTTTTGTTTTGTTTTAAACCCTTCATGTACCATATTAATCTTAAAACTTAATAGACAGCAAGCTTTTATTTGTATATATACAACATTGGGGTGATGGTTGAGGCTTTGATATGTGGCGATTATGCAAAGGCACGTGAAGCATTGTTTTTTTACAAACAAAATTTTGTTCTAAATTATTTCCTATTCATGTTACCTCAGGGTTTTTAGATACTTTTTCCCCTCATGACAGTCATCTAAATGTTTGATTGTGCTTTTGTTTTTTTTTTTTGGTAGTGTTTTAACTTCCATTTCTTTTGTACATGTAGGGAACTGTCCTAAACAACTGTATTCAGCCAATACGACCCTTCAGAACCTCCAAATCAACATCCTTATTCATCGCAGTTCTCTTCATCTCTTTTGTCATTTCTGCTGGACCTCTGTCATACATGATAGGAATGTAAGAGGCATTTTGTTTTACATTTATGAAAGACTTGTAGATCAATTTATGTATTAAATTAAATCTTGTTCATAGTATTTATAATAAAGAAATAGTGTTAATGATAAAGAAACATTCATATATATTCTAGAATTACTTAATGCGCTACCCAAGGAGAATAATCTCGTGTGATATGATAAACAGATATGGTTACAAAACTTTTCATTAATCTCATAACAATAAAGATTCATATCTTTAAATTCTTAAGTTTTAATGGTAAATTGTTAAAATATAAATTCAAACATATAATACCTATGTTATGCTTTGCAGGTTAGAATATTAGTTTTCTTATGTCTTTTGTAACAGGATTTCACCGTCCCAGAGTTGTGGGCCTTTCCGAGTGTATAGTGTATCTAACTTTGTGTTTTTTGACACAGTCCGGAATTTGATTTCTACATTTCCCTTCGAGGCACGGGAAGCTTTTCACTATGTAGGCACTATGGCCTTTTTCCTTCCAGCTATAATTATTGTATGGTAAGTCTTCTCTTTTATTATACCAGTTTTACTTATAATATATCTCTGATTTTCATTTGATTAAAAAAAAACTCTCTAAGATTCTCTGATTTTTTTAGCTCACCTGAGCCGAAGGCTCAAGTGAGCTTTTCTGATCAAAATTTGTCGGTGTCTGTCGTCGTTGTTGGCGGCGGCGCCGTTGTCGTTAACTTTTCACAATTTCATCTTCCTCTCCAGAACCACTGGGCCAATTTCAACTAAACTTGACACAGAGTATTCTTTGGTAAAGGGGATTCAAGTTTCTTCAAATGAAGGGCCACATCCTCCTCCAAGGGGAGATAATTACAAAATAGTGAAAAATTAATGGCATCTTTTAAAATCTTCTTCTCAAGAAACAATGGGCCAGGAAAGATGAAGCTCATGTGGAATCATTGTCAGGTAGTGTAGATTCAAGTTTGTTCAAATCATGACCCTGGGGGTAGGGTGGGGCCACAATGGACGATCAAAGTTTTACATAGGAATATATAGGAAAAATCTTCAAAAATCTTCTTCTCAAGAACAACAAAGCCATGATTGGTCATATTTATGTGAAAGCATCTTCAGATGGTGTAGATTCAAATTTGTTCAAATCATGACCCCCAGGGGTTGGGTGGGGCCACAAAGGACGATCCAAGTTTTATATAGGAGTGTATAGGAAAAATCTTCAAAAATCTTCTTCCCAAGAACATATTTATTTAAAAGCATCCTCAGATAGTGTAAATTCAAGTTTGTTCAAATCATGACCCAGGGGGTAGGGTGGTGCCACAATGAAAGTTTAAACTTGTAGGAAAAGAACCCACAGTTAGTCAAAGAAATATATAAGCATCCTTAATTAGTGTATAGATTCAATTTTGTTCAAATCATACCCCTCAACAACCCCCCCCCCCCTTTAGGGGTAGGTCGGGATCACTTATGCATGTAAACTTTTCAATACTGAACTTATTTTTGCTTTTTCCTAGCCACATTGCTCAGGTGAGTGTTGTGGCCCATGGGCCTCTTGTTTTTATATTCCTTCAGTGTATACAGGTTAATCTTAATTTTGCTGAATTTATAAAGTCTGTTTTCTAGCATCTTGCAGTAAAATCACGTTTTTTATTTTCTATTTCAGTTAGAATCTTGAGAATATTTAAATTATTGTAATTTTGATGGCTTTGAATTAGAATAGACTTAAAACTTTGTAGCATTATTTCTACATGTTTGTGTTTGAATGAATTTTTTTCATATGCAGTCTTATACATATCTTTAATTTTTTTTTTTAATTTGCAGTTTCATTATGTATTTTTACTGTATGCAATCCATTGGTTACAAAAGGAAAGCTAAGTTGTTAAGAGAGCAGCTAATAATGGTGAGTATTAACATTTAAGAGAATTGTAATCTATTGCATACTTCATAAAACATATTTATATAGATAGATCTTTAGAAACTTTGATATGACATGCAAATTTTATTTTAGGAGGGAAAAGACAAACAATTTCTCCTTGCCAGAGTCAATGAAGCATGGAAGTATTTGGAGTGATGAATTTGTGACATATATGTATCAGTATACAGAACTATAATTGCATATTAAATTTAAAAGAAGAAAAGAAAGAAAAAACAAGCAAATAATCAACAACAACAAAATGAAGATATGATATGTATTCAAAATAACTTTTTTTTAATCAATTAATTCACAATATACCAAAGTCAGGTTTACTGATTATGCATATAAAGATCAAATTTTAATGTCTGAAATTCTTGTTAATTTTTTATTAGCTTTCTGATATTTAAAATAACAATTTTCTAAAAGAGCAATAGCTAGAGTGATTCCCCTTTGCACAGAATGCATTGTATAGTTTGATAATTCATTTAATACAAAGTTTCAGTTTGTAAATCATAAGTTGAATGCAATGACAGAATAAAAATTTAACTTATTCACTGTTGTGACATGTTGCAAGGTAAACTGCAATAAATTGGAGAAAAAAAATTGTCAAAGGTGTGTACTTTAATTATATTGCATGACAATCACTCTCATTCATCAAATTGCTCATGTATGACGTAAATATCTGAAAGATACATTTAACTAAATCCTTCTTTATTAAAAGGTGCAACTAAAAAAAAATTATAAGGTAATGTAAATATATTTCAAAGGAATGGTTGTACATCATGTATATGCATCTTTCAATGCACACACCAGCTGTCACCATAAGGTAATAGACATGTATATTAGAAAAGCTACTTTACAAAGTTATTAATAGAAGAAACCATGAATTACTTAGCATTTCTACTGAATAAATGATAAATACTGTACACTGTTAATCCTTTTTTGTACACAAGTTGTAAATACAGTATTAAAAAAAAAAAAAATTACTCCCTAAGGCACCCCATTCTGGGACAATAAACGCGGTCTAGGCTATCAAATTTAAATATGAACAGAAAATCAATGAAGATTGCAGTGGTCCAAGATTTACCTCCGATTTGAAGGAAACACCCCTTTATAGCAGGTGAATTTTGAATAGCTATAAATCTTTGATAGATTACAACAGTGCATGTGGAGTTTAAAATAGTGGTTATAATATTGTCAATAGTGCAGTGTTAAATTATGTACCCAACCGTATGGTGTTGTTGAAGAGAAAATACAGGTAAGTTTTACCACTGAAAGATATTTATTGATGCATGAAGATTTGGTTAAAGTGGGATATGGGTGTTCTATTATTCAATAAAATCACTGATATGAGAAGAATGTATAACTATTTACATGTTTATATGCCGGATATTGACAAACTTTATTGCCCTTTTATACCCGAGGTCATACGTTTTTACGATAAATTGAGAAAGACCTGGCTCCATGTATAATGCTTTCTTATAAGAATTAATTTATGGAAGTATTTTTCATCATAAATAATCATTGAATTTGTTAAGGTGTCTGTCAATATTTTTTTTACATTTGATCTTCATTATAAAATATTTTTTTTTTTGTATGACATGATTTACAACAAATTATACTTTGAATTATCTGTTATGGAGTCCATTGATTTTTCACATTTTTAATCTAAGTCTCTCTCCCTCTATTCTCTCTCTCTGTCTCTCTCTCTGTCTCTGGACTTAAATTTCAACATTCTGATTTTTTTTTTAAAGCATTCAGATGAGGAATTATCACATATGACATATTATCATTCATAGACAGTATCCAAACAATGTAATGTGAGAATGCAGACTAGATTTTGAAATCCTTTCAAAAATGAAAGAATTTGCATAGGTAAATTTAAGCAAGTTCTTTGGTTTCAATAACATACATGTAAAACATTACCTGTTTGATACTATGGTTTTTATCATTTAAAGGAAGTTTTTTTTTTCTCATTTCTATTGATTTATTGTAAAAAGTTCATTGTCCTAGTAATTATACCCATGGGATAACCATTAGCACAGTGTTATTGACTGGTGTAAATCAATTGTAATTTAATAGACCAACCATAGTGGTGTTACATGGAATTTTGGAGAACATGAAGGTAAAAAAGCTTAAAATGGTTTTCCCCATTTTATTTTTATTAATATTATTCTTTTTGAAATTCTAGCTTAGTACCTGTAATTAGTAGGAAGTTTTGCTTTGTCATCTTTTGTGTTAAATATTATGCACAGCATGGCTCCTATAGAAATTTCCATATAGAATTCTGGTAATTTAACTTTATATCTTCCTCAATGAACCTGACTGTTACATGTATGTACCAGTACATTTACATCCCAGAATTTGATATCTAGAGATTTCGGTCGGCATATCTGTGATTAAGAGGTGTGCACATTAAAAACACTTGAAATATAAGAGATGAAAAAATTATTTGGTAAATATTATACTTGGAGATTATAAAGACAAATATTTCTCAGATAGAAAAAGGCACAGACAACAAAGTTGATTATATGGCAGTATATGAAACATGTATATATATGTTTCAGGATAATATAAAGATATATACAGCTGAAAGAGAAGAGAGAGAGAGCTAGAGTTCAGTGTCAGGTTTACCCCCTAAAATTGTAAAGTTAAAGATAATTCATGTTTTTATCTTTGAAAAAAAAAAAATGAATTATCAGAGAATGGGGTATAAATAAAGGCTTTATTTCTAAATTCTTGCAAGGCAAGAGCTTCTGGGGGCTTGATATTGGTTTTGTTTCTTAAAAATATATGTACTCTTACTAATTTTAATCATTGATAATGATGAAAAAAATGTCTATTAAGATTTCTTTTTTGTTTTTGCTCTACTAAATCTTGAGAATTCAGGAGCTTTTGGGGACTTCAACCCTTGGTCCCCTTTTGCCCTGGATCCACTTGGGGCCTCAAGATAGCCCCCAGACCCTCTGCTTATTCATGCAGTTGGTGCCCCCTTTCCTCAACTTCAAATCCTGGATCTGCCCCTGGAGAGAGACTGAGTACCTGCAAGTATATTGTATACTTTTATATTTTCAGCCTGATTTAAACTTCTTTATTTTGATGGTCATGTGGAAGGTTTGATTTTTTTATCAGACTGATATATTTTTTGTCTACAAAGCAGAAAGCTCTGAGTTTTCAATATTTGTTTGAGCTTTACATGTACCAACAATTTTCTGATGCATGTGGGAGACTCAAACAGATCACTTAATTTGTCCATCTGTCTGTCTTGTTACAAATTAAAAGAAAATGTCCATTCCGTTAAGTCAAGATTACAGCATCAAATTTGAAAGAATGTTCTAGCTAGGTCTTTTTATCAGCCTGTGTGAGAAAATGTTCCAAATATATGTGAATACAAAATATTAATATACAATGTCATATTGTGCATTTTATGTGAAATAATTATGATGAAAATATTCTGTGCCAATTTAATTGGAGAAAAATCTTGTCTTAGAACAATTTTGGTAAATGTATACATTCAGTATACACTGTACATTGTTAATTGGCCAGATAATGGAACATAATTTAAGTGTTGTGAATGATGACTTCCTGGTTCATAAGTGTATACAGTATTTGCTGTGCATCATTATAAATGAGCAAGGAGTTTAGAATATACAAAAATGGAAAATGTTTAATCATTTTTTTTCTAAAAATAATTGTGATGTAAATGTCAATAAAAGGATACAATAGAAAAGTTATTTTTTAAAAGCAGGCTAATAATAAGCTATACATAAAAAATTAATATACATGCATTAACTATTTATAGCAGGGATCAACCTGAAATAATTATATGCATATACATGTACTAAGCTTTTCTTCACTATAAATTGCATCAAAAAGATTTGTTTCCTGCACGATGAACAAATTAAATCCATGTTGTGCCTTACATTATTTTCATTTCTATTAAGTATTTTGCAGATCAACTTTAAATTTACACTTTTTCATCAATGAAAAAAAAATCATTGCATACAAATTACATGTGTTTTGATGTGCCATTGTCTAAATTGACAAATGGGAACTAGTATAGGCCCTACAACGGGATTTAGAATTGAAGGACCAAGGTGAGGGATGGGGAAAAGTGTAAGAAACATCACCAAGAGAAAGAAGACACCCCCCCCCCCTTTAGATTAAAAATGTAAAATTGTCGCTGCAATTTTAAATAAAAGATGTTTTCAGTCACCAAAATAAATAAATAAATCGGAAATATTTTATATTACAAGTTAATTGTAAAGAATTAAAAAAAAAAATACTCAGTGCAAATGTAAATCTAGAGTTATCTCTCTTGTCCTTGAAAAATGTAAACAAAGATGGCCACTAATAACATAAGTGGAAGTGGCGAGAAGGGATGTGAGGATTTGTGCACTGTGTATCCTGAAGAGAGAGTACCGCTGATGTCAGCGGAAGGTAGGAATCTTACAGCAAGCAGACAGTTGTAGATTTTCTTTGTGTTTCCTGTCTATTTCCGCCAGTATTCGGCCGCAATAGGTAACAAGCTGCTAACAGCTGATTTAGTGATTAGTCACACAGGCAACTTTTTGAAGAAAAACAATTTTAGTAAGTCATATAAATAGGAATTAACCAAAAAATTAGTGAAAAAAATGTATAGATATAATCAACATGTAGATCCTTTTTTTTTTTATATCGGTAATGTTTACATGAGATTACTCATGTTGTCGGTAACATATTGCATTATATTTACTAATATTAAAAAGAGGTGACGTTAATTCACGTCTATGACTCTTCACATGCACTTTGCCTATCCCAGATAAATTGTCAAGGGAAAGCACATTGTAGTAAACTATGAAAAAAATCACAAAGAATTCATTCTTTCTTTCAAAGTACATTTACCTAGACAAGCAATTGATGTACACATGATATAATGTTTAATATCTTATCTTGAGCTCCCCTCCTAAAAAAAGAACATTTTTTCAGTAACTAACAACATTGGGACATTTACTTTATAACATAGTATATATGTTTCTTACGTCAAAATGTGTGATCATGCAAATGAATAATATGTATACATGCTTATTATTTTGTTTCAGAAATGTTTTATTTTAATTTTCAGAACGCAGACTTGCTAAGAGAAGGAGACATATTGGAGATGATGTCTTGGTAGCCTCAGATTCTGAAGTTGTAAACCATCGTCCTAAGTCTGATATTCCTCTTGTAGATGTCAGAAAACTTCGGAAGGAAAGGGATAAAAAGTATCAGTCACAACCTTTAGATTTAAACTTAGATTACCCTTCAGTGGATGTGGAAAGTTTAAAGAGGGACAGTGTCAAAAAATCCTTATCTGACAGTCCACAGAATGATGTCAGTGGGTTAACAGAAGATAAACTCAGGGAAGAGAGACAAATAAAATTTAAATCACAGCCTGTAGAGATGTCTGATGCCTGGTATTCAGGAATGGAGGAAGAAAGAGGGTACCAGTCCAGAGCCCCTCTTAGGGCAGGTCCTAGGGGGGACAGGATGCAATATCAGTCCATGCCTCCGCTGGATATAGATGAGGGTTATGAGCCAGGGCCTTCAAGAAAAGAAGATTCCCCCAGAAGGGATAGATTTAGACAGTACCAGTCAGGTCCTCCTCTTGACATGAGGGATGAACCTCCCATGGATTATGGTGGGAGGGATTTACCTGAAGTAGATAGGAGGGAAAATATACCTGGTCCTTCTAGAGATCAAAGTGATGGATATTACAGAGGGAGAGAAAGACCTAGAAATGACCAGTTGGGGCCACAGGGAGATAGATTAAGAGATGATAGGAGAATGTACAGGACTGATAATGTAGATTACAACAGGTATTATGCCCTCATCATTAATCTGTATTCTTTGAAAAATTAGCGTCACAGTCATGCTTCCTAAAACAGGGCTGCAAGCAAGGGAGGGAGGGACCATCCAAGACTTATTTTCCCACCGTGTAATATTTTTAAGTCACCTGAGACAGGTGAAATGTTGTTCTCTCTCTCCTTTCATCTGTTGTTGTTATGTTTTAACTTCTCTTATTTTTGACTTCTATTAGAAACAATGAGCTAATCTCATCCAAACTAGCCCAAAAACATCTGACGATAGGAACCACTGAGTCATAATTGACAAGACTTATGTGGAAGTTAGTTCATTTAGAGAAGATTAAATGTGTTCAAACTATAGTCTTCAGGGCCAGGATGGATCACAGAAAGGGTCCAATATTTTACATAGAAATATTTCAGAAAATTAAGAGGAAAAAAAGCATTACAATTTAGTATCATATATAAGGAATTTCAACAGTGGAAATTTGTGTTTGTTCAAATTACAGCCATTTGGGCAACAAAGGGAGTCCAAAGTTAACATACAATGTGTAATAAAATGTATAGTAAAAATTTTAAAGAGATTTCAAAAGCTTCTTTCTGGCATGTATAACCCAGTTACTTGTACTGTAAAATCAATTTTTTTGAACTGTTCTAAGAAAAATTTAAGATTTTACATGAATTATCAACTTGTAAAGAAAAGTTACATTTAATATCCATGCTCTAAATCCTTTGTTCAGTGATCATACAAAGAAAAAGAAATGTTTTCTGTTTACAGAAATGACATGGAGAATAACAACATTAGCAGCAGACCAGCGGTAGAACTGTCAGAAGTCTTCCCACACATCAACAGTACCGATGGGAAAGGGACATTAATCCGTCATCGTAGAAAGTCCAGCAGGAAAATGGGTTTTGGGGAACCAGATTATAGTGATGATGATGACGACAAAACTCTGCCCAGTCAGAAAGCCATCCAGCGAAATCGCACAAAGTCAATCAAAGTAAGTCATTCAGTATGAAGTTATTTAAACCACGTAAAGATCATTCTACATTCATCTGAAAAAAAAAATGTTTCAATTGTCTTTTAAAGTGCTCTTTAAGAATTTGTATTTCCTCTAAAAAAAAAAAAAAAGATTTAGGTATACTGTTTAGAATGCATAAGTGTTTTAATTTTGATTGTGGCTAATAATTTTTTGGGATAATTGCTTTAGCCATCTGATCATTGATTTAATTAGCTGGTAATATTGAGAATCATTGATTCTCATGAAATTTATTATTCCCTTGCAATGGAGTTGGAGGGGATATAGTGACACACATGTGTGTGTGAATGGAAGTAACACAAGCAATAATTTATATCGGGATAGATGTGCCATTTTTGCGAGGGGGTGCTCCGCTTTGTGGTGCCCTTGTCAGATATTTGGCACTGGACATAAAATGAACTGCAGTTAGAATTAAACATGTATGTGAGCACTTAGAATTATAATATATGACTTTAGGAAAGAAGAATGGAACTGGAAGAAGAAAAGAAGTCACATCCCAGACCAAAGTCACTGGCAGAGAAATACAATGAACTTAAGAACAAAGGGACCTTAACTCCTGGGGATGTGGCAACAATAGTCAGGTACAGTGAAGATAACATCACCAGAGTCCTCTGTATTTCCTTCACCTCTATTATTTTATGTTTTATCAACTAGGCTATATATTTCATATTTCCCTCATTTTTTTCCTAACCAAATTGTTGGTGTCACTCAGAATAGAAAAAATGTTTAAAATGCTCTTTCACCTATTGTTTTAAAACTTGGTGATTTAGTTATTAATTATTTTTTACACTCATCTTATTTTTGTTAAACATTTTTGCCACTGTTACAAGAATCTGGCTCCCTATCAGTCTGTCCATTTGTCTGTTTGTTCTCATGATATTGATATTAAAGCATATATTTTCTCTGATCTTGGCTCAATCTCGTATCAAAAAAGATATATTTTAAGGATTATATTCATAAAACAAAATTTAATAGAAGTGCTTTTTAAGAATATAAATGAGGGAATAATCCATTGATTGATATTACTGTCTCTATATTAAATAAATAGATCTGTGTAAATTTTCATTTAAAGGGAGTCAACTCTTACTCGAATGAATAATATAGCTTCAGGAGCTGAATCCAAGGTAATATATTAATTATCAAGTGAACTAGGAAATTGTTATGATTTATTATATAAATGATTAGCAATCCAGATTGATTCATTTATTTTATATTTTATTCCTTGTTTACAGAATAATTACTCATAATTATATATTGATTAATTTTCACAAGTAATTAATATATCATTTTTCACTCTGCAGTATTGAAGAAAGACAAATGTGTAGTTGTTGATCATCATAAAATCCCCTTCCTAAGTTTATTGATCAAAATCTGCACATTTCATCATAAATGTATCTATATAGAGAATTGTTTGACAATTGGAGAAAGATAATTTTTTCTTCTACAAAAATATTTTTATGTTCATTTGTCACATTTTTTTTAAAGGAATGGCATAAATTCAAACTGAAAAAGAAAGAGTTTTTAGATAGATTTACGATTTGGGCTGGAACTTTGAAGGAGGTGGAAGGTAAGTCGGTTCATGATCCCAACAGAGTGGCACGTACTTAATTACTTACGTATTACTCTATACAATTGATTGGTAATTTTACTATATAACAGGAATTTTTTGCAACCATCTAATGTTGGCATTATTAGGGATGGTCTTAGCAATAACAAATTACCTATTTAGAAATGTCACTAATAATCAGATCAGTATTATTTTTTTTGAAAATGAATATAAAGTTATTCCCAACATCCCTAAAATTTGATTACACTAATAAGGAATGCCCTATTGTAGGATAAAATCGCTAAATTTACCAGTAGCTAAAATAATCCTTTATATGGTATATTATTAAATCATTGAGTAATTCGTGATAGAAAGATATACCTAATGATGACAGAATTGAAAAAATTTAAAATACTTGAGTTTTATCCATAGAATTCTTGTTAAGGCAAATTCAGTAGGAATTATGAACTATAAGAAAAATGTCAAAGTTTAAGTTTTTGTATTTTAAGTGTTAGCCCTCTCTGTATTATTTTGAAGAAAAAAACTTTGTGTATTTCTGACAGAATTTTTTCACATTTACTGTGTATGTTCATAATACGTACAGTTATATTTGTAACCAGCTGAAGTGATAATTTCACTAGCAAAGTCCAGATAATCGTTTTCAGATTGTTAATGTGGAACTGCTGTATATACTGATTTCTGTTTATATAGGTCAATATGGAACAGCAGTGATGACTTATTTCCGATTCATAAAATGGCTGATGTTCTTGAATATCTACATTATGATAATAATGTTTTGTGTAATAACTGTCCCCTATCTGGCTCTGGGCCCATATAATTTTAATTCATCACTTTCTGATGCTAATGTATCTGGATATATGGAAGCCATCATTTGTACAACTGAATATGAAGTCTACCAGAAAAATCTGACAGATGCGGAAACTTTGGGACAGAAAGTGCTGGATTTTCTGCAAGGCACTGTGAGTTAATTTTGGCATAATATATGTTCTTCTGCCGTATATATTAAACATAAACATTTCTTTAAAATATCATCTAGGTAAATGAAAACAAAATATGATGCATAAATTATCAAAAGAACTGGTGCAGGACTAGAAGTTATTATTTTTTTGAAGCACTAAAATTAAAAAAAGTAAGTAAAAATGGGTTATAAAATTTAAAGGGGGCAAAAGGGACCAAATCTTTAACAATTACATCCTGTATTGGGCATAAAGTGAAAATTTGATAAGTTCTTAAAAATGCAATTCAAAATTACATGATGGATCCAAGGGATGGGACTAGAATTATAGCAACCATAATTTTCACGTCTTGTTGACCTACATATGTTTTTTTATTTTTGGCACACTAGGGCTGGATGGAGAGAAAAATCTTATTTTATGGAGTATATTACAATAAAACTTACACAACCAGTGATAATGAGGTCTACACCTACCACATGGGTCTGGCCTATATGTTGGCATTTGGAGGATGTTTTTTGATTTCCTTTTTCCTAATTGTTAAAAAGTAAGTACTAATTGCTGTGATACCATACATGTATATAAAGATTAGATCAACAGTATCAAGGCCCCTAAGGTAAATGATTTAGGGTGGAAGCACATAGTATTTTAGTTATATTTGTATTTATATTGACAAGTCCTTGAGAGATTGAGGTTCCATCCTTCCGACATTGTTTAAGTTCTTCCTATACAGAAAACAACATTTTAAGTCCAAACAAATATAAATGAGGTTATCAAATAGAATGTAAAATCTTGATGCTTTTATATTGATATTATGCCTTTTCTGTTTTTTTTCACCAAATCACAAAAAGTTTTAGAACATATTTCCTACAAGCTTTCTATAGCCACATTGATATCTATAGAACAGGAACATTTTTGACAAAATTGAATCTTGATGCTATACAAGACAGTTGAAATAAAAGTGAAATATCAAGATTCTAGATAGTTTCTCTTGATCAGAACTATTTCTGTCTTTGCCTCATGAGATATTTTTAAAGTTGGATTTAGAGAAATTGACCTAGATAAAATTTCAATAATGTATTTTAACAATATAATGAAAATAGTCATCTGTCTCTGTAGAATAATTAGTTTCTTCTATCGAATTACATATACTGGTTAATGAATGGTTTAGGCCTCTAATGATTACTTGTACTTTTACAGTGCTTCTAAGAATGTGAAGGTGTCATTGGGTACACAAGAGACAGTAGCTCTTTACTGCAACAAAACATTTTCTGGATGGGATTTCTGTATCAACAATAAAAAGGCAGCCAAAGTGAAAAGGAAAAACATCTTTACAGATTTAAAGGTTTTTGCATTTTAGATGTCAAAAATGACCATATTTTCATATAAAATTTGAATCCAGCTGTCTCATTTAAGCAAGTTAATTAAGATAACATTTCGTCTAAAACTTAGATGCATTGTGCAAAAATTGTAAGTAACAATTTGGATTTTTTTTTAGAGGTTTCTGAATCAAGAAGGAAAACAAAAGCAAAAAATAGCCTCCCCCATCCCTAACCAAAAAAAAGTCCAAGTTTTATGTGTATTATATCTTGTTGTTTTTAAATAGGCAGAGCTGAGTGATCAAAGAAAAGAATGGGAGAGAGAGCACAGAACTACAGCAGAACTAGTTAAGTTGTACCTACTGCGATTCCTGATCAACATTCTGGTTCTAGCTTTGTTAGGGGGAGCCTTGTACCTCATCGCATTCACCACTGAACAGATGATAGAGGTGAGGGTTCATAACTTTTTAGGACAATTTCACTGGTAGTGTAGGCTTTTGGAAGTGACATAAGCCTACCGGTAAATTACTGATGATAGAGAATGTTGTGGAATTTACCTGACTTTCTGAGTGCTTATATTTGCTCTAATTTAAATGTGCAGAATATGTCACTGTTTGACAATTTTGTATGACACAAGCATAAGGCATGTCACTATTTATTTAATGTCCAAGACTGTGAATTGATTAGTATTAGTCTCATTCGTGTCTCATATTTAATTTTTGAGCAGATAACATTTCAACAGTGTCAGTACATTGAAAAAATTAAAGATTTGATAATCAATTAGATTGATACATACATATACGATGAAATTTTTTTCCAGCTACAAAATCAGACAACTCTGTCCGAGATTTTAGAATTGGTGGTGCAATATGTCCCCTTTGTGACTATTACTGTGCTCAATGCTGTACTACCTATCATCTTCCAAAAGCTGGTCCAATTTGAAGACTACAGATATGAGTTTGGATTTAAACTGACTCTAGCTAGGTGAATAATTTGTTATTGGCAGATATTTGGAACACACATTTTGGCTTTCTCAGACAAGAATGTTTAAAGATAGGTTTTTATTCTTTCACATACATGTAGAAACAAGGCTTCAGAGAAAAGAAGTAAAATGGCAGATTTTAAGTGGAAATCTGAAAAATATAAATCCTTTTGTGTTATTGAGTATGAAAATCCAAGGAATGGAAATTTTAAGTAAAATAAATTAGTGTTGCATTTGACTGTTATTAATGTTTTTTTTTTAAATTATAAACTAACCTGAATTTTTAAAATTATTTCAGAGCCATTTTACTGAGATTAGCCTCCCCCATAGCCTTGATAGCAATTTTGTACAAGGAGTTGATAGAGAAACCAGCGGATGACTCCGACACGGGAAAATGTGGGAACAAACAGTGGGAATCAAAAACAAGTCGTGGAAGGATAATGGTAAGATTTTCCCACACAACATTGTTTAGAATGTTTCAAATCAGATAGATGAAGAAAAAGGTGTTTCAGATATAATTCTTTTTTTGTAAATCCTGAAATATTGGCATTCCAACTGCATCATATTTGAGAGAACTTGAAATTAAACATGCAGTGAATGTGTTAAGGAATACCTTTTGGTCCAAGTTTTCCTATACTCGGCTACAAAAATTAATTGACCATATATGCACATATTTGTGCAAATTTTTATTCAAGATGAAATTCCTGGCAATAAAAAGCAGAAAACATCTTAAATACACATTTGTATGTATGTGTAAGTAGGCTGACCCATGTTTAATTATATCTACTTTTTTGGTCTTGTACAGTGCTGGGAGACCTATTTTGGACAACAGTTGTATAAGCTGGTTTTACTGGATTTAATCGTAGAAACTGGAATCATTTTCTTCATGCAAGTCCCCAGGTGGTAAGTTGCAAAATGAATAATAGTTGAAATAAACCAATATGTGAACAGGTAGACCCACCCATTATTGACATTTATTTAGTTTTCAATGAAGCACTGTATTAGAGTGGATACAGAAACCCCACAGACATTTAAATTTGTTTTTTTTTTTAATTTTTTCAAATTTCTTTAATCTGTCAATTGTTGACTGAATATTACTTTGCTGTAAGCATGCAAGTACGCACCTTAAAATTAATTTTGATACTAATATACAATGTGTATTTCACATTCTTGCATCCACACATCTGATCTGACAGTCTAATACAGTTTTTTTCCCATGCAGCTATTCTGCAGGACAAAAAATCTTTATACCAGAAAGCTCAGTTAACTTGCCACCAATATTAACATATTTACATAAAAAAGTTAAGAACCCTAATAAAGTTAAATACATACCCTCCTCCCCCCCCCCCCCCCCCCCAACTTTTCCTACTTGTAAGTGGTAGACAAAACCCATTCATAAATGCCAAAATCACAACCATAATTGAAAGGATCATACATTAAAAGTTAAAGGAGATGCTGGTATTTTAGTTGCTCTACATGTACATGTATAATTTTCTTTCCAAATTAATAGGTTTTTGTTCAAGAATTATGGCAAATCCAGTAAAGTTGTGAAATTGGTGGGACCTCAAGAGTTTGATTTGCCACAAAGTGTGGTAGATATCATTTACACCCAGAGTATATGTTGGTAAGTGTTAAAATGTGACACACCTAAACAATGTTTGATACATGTATAAGGTTTAGTAAATATCAAAATTTTAGCAGTACTTTCAAAGTTCAACTTTTTACACCCCGTTTGTGAATTCTCTATAAATACCAAGAAATTCAATAAACATGATTAGTATAAGAGCAAGCTCATTAAAGTAATGATATATTTGGAACTTAGGAATAGAGCTATTATTTAGTAATCATTGAGTTAGAGAGTCTGAGGAGAGTGTGTGTTGTTTACATTACAGGCTAGGGATGTTTTTCAGTCCTCTCATTCCATTCATGACATTCCTAAAGTGTGTTCTTTTCTTCTGGGTCAAAAAGGTAGGTTTATTTTATTTTTTTTTACTGGATGTGAACTAAATTGTACGATTTTACAATCCTGCAACAAAATAGCATATGTAATGTCTTTTGATTTTGATTTCAGTTTGCTGTTCTCAAAATAAATGTTCCTCAGGAACGTCCATTTAAAACATCCGGTTCTAATTCACTGTTTATGCTGGTGCTACTCCTGTCCTTTATAATTTCTGCTGGCTTGCTGGGATACATGATTGGAAGGTATATTAATTTAATATGTTATACTTGTATTTGGTATATATATATATATATATATATATATATATATATATATATATATATATATATATATATATATATATATATATCTATCTTGTCTTTTTTAATACATTGATTAAGATGTATTCCATTTTACTAAGAGTCATTTTATTAAAGGAGTTTTAAAAGTACAATCAGCAAAGTAATATAAACTGAGTCAAGGTTGTACAATTCTCAGAAATTTGTACTAAATGCCAAATGTGAATACATCAATGTTTGTTTATCTGTATTATCTGTAATTTACAATATTCTTGCAGTATTCCACCCAGCCAGAGTTGCGGCCCTTTTAGAGTGTACAGCACAAACCAGACTGAGGCTGTAATGTTTGACGTCATTTCTAAGACAGTCTCTAGCTGGCCTACAGAGGCCAGAGATGTGTTTGAATTCCTCGGAACAGTGGGATTTTTTGTACCTGTGGTTGTTATGCTTGTGTAAGAACATGAAAATTAGTTGTTTAGTTTAAGTGAAATTAAATTTTCTTTTAGCTGAACTCTATAAGAGGAATCAAAATGCTTTCATTCTGATGCATTTTATTTTTGTTTTAATTTGATTAACATTCTGTTCCATTTTAATTTCTTGTATACAAATTTTCATTGAGATGGAATGGGGGGGGGGGGGATCAAATTAAATTTCCTTCTTCATTTTGTGTCAGTACATTGACGGTGTATAAGTATGACCACAATATTAACCAAGGTCAACTCTATGATACACGTGCATTGATCTCATATTAGTCAAGAATACTTCAGTAATGAACCACCATTTGATAGCCCTAAGGTCAGCGGCCCTGAGCATGACATTCTAAAATACACTGCTACTTGGGATACTTTGTTGTGAGAAAAAAAGAGGCTGAACTGCCTTTGGAAAATTGGTACAGGACTAGAATAGAATCTTTAAAACAATATTGTACTTTGGACCAGGTTTGACTGTGGTGAGAGCCTGTCCCAAGACATGGATCGTTCCAAGTAATAATGAATGTGTACTGTAAATGTGGAATTTATGTGTGGGGGTAATTTACGCAATAAAGATTTTGCATGAGTATGGCCGACGTACCAACGCCTGTATACATTTCTGATATCATAGAAATAACCCCCACGTGTATTTTTGTAATATGCCTGGTTTGTTTGTTTAATGTCCCTTCAAGAATTTTTCACTCATATTGAGACCCCACCACTTCCAGGTGGGGGGCTGCAAATTTAGACCTGTACTCGGCACTTCCGGGTTTTGAGTAGAGAGGGATCTTTTTTTGTGCCAGGACATACTGGGACATGAGACCTTGGTTTAAATGGTCTCATCCGAAGGACCGGTCTTGATGTCCAGCAGTGGGATTCAAACCCATGACTTAAGGATCAACTCCTTATGCCACAACTTTAGAGCAAACACTCTAACCACTGTGCCACGATGGCGACTAATGTTCTTGGTACTTATTTGCATAATTAACAGCACACATAAATATCCTTGTTTATTGTGCAGTACATGTATTTTGGATTTATCAACAGTTAAGATAGTTTGTTTTTCATTTGAAAGTTTGCAGTCAGGAAAAGGTACCATGTACAAATGGAAAAGAAAAGCAAACAAAGATTGTTTTGAAAATGTCATAAAAACATTATACATTTAGTATATTTGATCTGTAATTTACGTCTTTGTTCCAGGCTGCTGATGTATTGTTACTGGCTTAGGGGTCAAGGATATAAAAAGACAGAGGAACTTCTACAAAATCAACTTAAAATGGTGGGTGGTATTTGTATGATTGTGTCAGTATATTAGTACCATGTAAATTTCTTATCAGGAATATAAAAGATCCTGCAAGAAAGTTATCAAATCCTAATTATCGCATAGAACTCTTAAACAAATGTAGAATTTATTTTTTGAGGTGAAAGATGAAATTAGTAATTTTGTTTATTTTCAGGAGGGAAGAGATAAGAAATACCTGCTGGACAGGGTAAATGAAGTTCTCAGTCGTAATTCAGATCTGATATCATGACTTGGCATTCTTATTCAAATCAAACCTCATGTTGTCAAACTAAGACTTATTTGACCAATTAAAGTTTCACAATTATTTGTACACTAGGACAGATGTTTCAGAAATTATTATTCTGTATATAAATGAAATTTTTTTTCCTTGTAAATTGCAGTATATGTACTAGAGTGACCATTGTGTGTTCTTTATTATGAAGTTGTTTTAGCTACTTTGTAACCAATATTGTCGCCAATTTGTATATTTGTGTACTCACAATAACCTCCGTCCTTTATATTGAAATCCACAATATACATTTATTTGTGATGTAGAGCCCAATATTGTATAATAATACCATCTTTTATATATTATATTTACACAATATTGAGGACAAATCATACTGCATGACAATCTCATTTAAATATGCATAGGAAAAAAAACGCATTTTGGCATTTTAAAAAAAATAAATGTTGAGCATGACCAGTGGTTGGGTAGTGTCGGGCAATGAATATGTTTGTCAATTCATTTTTGTTGTGGTCTCTCAGTGATATGGCCTTTAATATGGTACTCTATGTGTTTAGTTCCACCTTACCTGTTGATGTTGGCACCTCGGTTTGTTGAGGGTGTAACCCCTGACAGAATGGGTCAAATTGAAGGTTGGGGGTGGGATGGGAAAGGGGGATGGTTTTTACTCTCTTCAGTTTAATATCACAATGCTGTGCAAAAGCCTGGAAATTATTACCATGTACATAGATTCAAAGAAGCTAGAAATATAAGAATATAACACTGAATATAAAAGTAGCCACTTGGGACATATAAACAAATTAATATGGCACATGTGTATAACCCCTGCATTTAATGTATTGTGATACTGATCAATATAAGGCTCAGATGACGATCTAATGTATAACTATTTGCACCGTGATCATGTCTGTTTAGTACTGGTATTAAAAATTATACAAAGAGATTAACTATTTAACCATTATCATTTTTTTTCAAATATTCATTTAACATTTTATTAACAAATGCTGTACGTATTCTGTCTACGAAATGTGCCTTTCACACAACTGTGTCTGTCTAGATATTTTTCTGTCTTCCATTGTTTTATTTGTTATATACATTTACTCATATAAACTTTAAGCAGTGTTATATCTTTGAAGAGTAAAAACAATTTGTTTAAATTTTTTAAAAATAGTTTGTTTTCTCTTTTACTTATTTGAAAGATTTTGATTTTACCATTTTTCACAGCAAAGTGGATTGTAATTTATTGCAAAAGTCTGCGCTTACAGAATGCTTGCAGCCGGCTAGTTTAATACATTTCGTTTGCCTTTGATATCTTTTATTTTTGTTGAGTTTTTACAAAATCTTGTTTTTATTCATGGAAGGTGAAGGTTGGCTTTATGCCAGGCCAAGGCCAAACATAGAGGGAAAAGCCCAAATGTTAGTGAAGAATCTAATTTTCCAGTGGGCAGGGCATTGCACTCTGCAAGCACTTCTTGTTTGTAATAATTTTGGAATTCATTCATGCATATTCTTGAGGGTGAATTGTTGGATGCTGAATAACCGTGAAACCAAATGCCCATGCATTCATTTGTCGCATTATTGCGCTATTTGCAAATGTTCAGAAAAGACTGGATATATACATGTATAGTGAATTACAAATATTGGAAGACTTAGTTGTGGAAATAAGCTCTAATTATCTTAACAGCAATACTAGTTTTTCCTCAGTTAACAATGGGACGGTTCAATTGACAATGTATAAAAGAAGTTTATCTGAATAATGAACGCAAGTTATTTCCTCTCGACGCATTCTTATCACGTTTTTGAATGAAAAGGAAAACGATATTGGAGATGAATCTTCACTCGTCTATTATCATCAGAGTCGGTAATATGTGCCTAATTTGTTAGTTGTTTTTTCGACATGTTCAGCGTCCGTATTGTCACGGCAGAAATCAACCATGATTATTTTTCCACCTCGAGATCCCGCGAGAATAAGGCGCATATAGAGATCTTTCATTCAAAAACTGGAGTGTTTCTGGCAGACTGTCGTAAAAACTAATTATTTCTTGGCGAAAGACATTGAATAGTCAAGTCCTACCGAACTTCAAAGCAGGATAATCTCCTCTCTGCAAATCGGGCTTAATTGACTTTTATGGAGCCTATTCGGTGTATAACAATTTGATCTGCAGAACTATTTCATTTGGATAGGACACACTAAATTACTCACCTAATATATATAAAGTATTACGGAACAACAAAATGCCTATTGTATGCTTAAATTGTTTGACTACAGTGTCAGTTTTAGTATCTTCTGTGAAAGCAGTTAAAAAAAATAATTCAGAATACTCGTACGTTTTTTTTGTAGAATGGTTGATTTCTGTCACTGGATAAGACTCCATTGATGTTGCTAATGAATTGTTGATGTTAGTAATACATATACTCCATCCATGTTGGTAGAACAAAGTCTTTCCCTTTGGGTCACATTAATGTTAAAATGTAATCTTGTACAAATTACCAAAACTACATTTGTGCATGTCAAAAGTAGGAATTTTGAGATGTAACTACTTAGTGTTTAGTTCTTGCTCTTTCTTCGTTTTATTGGCCACATGCCTTTATGTATCTTTTGAGATATTAAGAAGAATTTTGAGAAATCGCTGTAGTACTCGGACGGTTTTGGAAGGGCTGCATAGTCATTATTGCCTCGTTTAGGAGTACATTTAAAAGGAATATTTAGTGTGCACTAAATTCTTATCACAACCAGACATACGGTGTAGACTTGAACTGAAATATCATCCTTTCAGTCTGGTAACTTATACCTAGGCATTGATTTCAAACGATTAACATGCAATTTTATGTTTCCTAAGGTTGTATTGCCACCTTAAGCTTGACCTCCTAGTGGCCACTTGTAAGCTACATGTATATCGCAAGAATGATTGAGAAAACAAAGTTTGTTGGATGCATTCTTTCCGACTTACATGTATATAATATTATTTACCAAGCTATCTTCTTGAGGATAAGAATAATACTATTGAAAATTCACTTTGATTTCAACGCGCGTGATTAAGTAAATAATTCAATTTGACCGTAATGAATTCCATCTTTCCTTTTTTTCTACTGACTTTGTTTTCTCCAACGTGCAGTTACCTCCAAGCTCTGTGGAAACTAAATACGAGGCCACGTCGTACATTTGATTGCAATTCACATTATCCAGGCTATCGCAGATTTTTTTTGGAAATGCTTTCACAATCTTTTATCTCTTCCTAGAATACATATCAACTCCAAAGGACGAGAATGAGAAATCTTTCATATGCCCCCAGATCGAAAGAAAATTTGAAAGAAATACATGTATCATATTAATTCCAAATATTACAATTGAAATTCACTTTTAAAGTTACTTTTGACCAATAGTGGCGTCGTTTTTTCTCTGTTTAGGTTCGTCTGCACTCTGTTCACACTTAAAAAAAATTGCTTTAACGATAATTTTCCAAAAGAAGACTAATTTATAGCTTTAAGGATAAATAACAGAAACCTTTTTTCAGAAATCATCAATATATCTATTAGCATTACATTTATATTCATATCAACAATTTGAATTATTTTCCAAAGTTAGTGTGTAAGTTTTGTTAGTTTGTAATAGTGTGATCATAGAATGTGTGCCAAAAATTCGTATAGTTTTATATAGAAAATGGCACAAAGTATCATATTTGAACACCAAAGAAATTTTGCAATTATTTCTTTATATTTTAGATATCTATATGTTTGACATTTCCATTCAAAATCAGTCAAAAAATGAATAACAATCCATGCATTATTTTTTTCGTGTGTTCTGTATCCTTAGAATAAACACAGTTTCAGCATTTTGCACTCGCTTCGTGATCGGGAGGTCTGGGTTCGATTCTCGCTCCTGGCGCTGCGTCAAACCTAAAACGTATAACACAGGTAGTGGCTGTTCCTTCCTCGAGCGCCAGTCATTAGAAGTGAAAGTCACCGGTCTTTCGAATATGACCCTAAAAACATAGGTTCCGTGACACGGTTGGCGTTGGCACAATAAAGAATCTTCATTTCTCAGTAGAGAAATGGAGAAAATGAAGTACCGAGCGTAGATGAAATGTGAAGATAACGAACAGTGATCATTAATTCTCAAAAATCCATTTAAACAATACCAATTATGAGCAGAAACAACACGGGGCCTCTGAAAACAGAGGTGGGATCAGGTGCCATGGACGAGTGATCATCCCCTGCTGACCGGTCACGCCAGCTGTATGCTCCTTGTCATGATAAGATAAACGAAAAATCCGTAGACAATTCGGTGTGAAAATAATGATCGAACTAACAATTTCTTATGAAAAACGTTAGTCAACATTCGACCTAACGACAGATTATATTTGAAAACAAGGTCTTTGTATTGACCATAGAACGTAATGTTGACTAAAAACGATTGTTTATATCCTTGTATCATTAACTTATTTGAAAGTAGCCTGCCTCGCTTTAGAAATTGTTCGTTCTTAGAACAAGCTCCTGTGTGTCGAATCATCAAGACATACACTCCATATGCAGGTGATAATGGTATATTGCTACATATAAGTAAAGGAAGTTGACGATAGAAAACTTGAAATCACGTTTGTCATTAAGTTGTCAGTTTGTCATCAATGTCTTTCTCTAGATAAACATCCAAATATGAAACGGATGTTTCAGACTCTGTTGTATTTTATATTTCGAGTTCAATGGGATAAATCGAATCAATGTAGGAATGGAAATAAATGTTGTTAACTGATAAAATGTCATCAATTTATCTAAATCTGAATCCGAGTTCTCTTAAATACAAATTTTGTGAGTTTTTCTTTTAATCTCAAATATTGTTATGCAAGGGTCGTATACTCCAACTCGACCATGCACAAACCACAGTTCCGCTCAATATTTGCGCATGCATGCGTAGCCAAAACTCTCTTTGTATTAAGGAAAGGACAGAAAGACAAACATAAAGCCACCCCGAATACGATATGTTTGAATCCGTGCAAGCATTAAACTAGACTATATAGGGCGCTCATTTTGAGCATTTTAATGTCCTCAGCAATTTGATATCTAATGGAATGAAATTTTAATTCATTTTTACTTATTTTCCAGAACAATCTAAGTACCAATATTCACTTTAAATTAAGTTCAAGATGCCGCTACTGTATCTTTCTTCGTAATTAAAAAAAAATATTGCCATCAATAGCTATAGAACAACACTTTTCTTGGGTATTTTATGTATATGAAATGCAAATCTTCCAATTCATTGAATTTGTCCTATAAATATTGTGAAACTTTGGTTTAAACCAAAATCTTATTAATATTTTTATCTGTCTACATTGTTGTTTTACTTTCTTAGATGGCGTGTTCAGTTTGCATGTGTTGCCGAAGTCATCAACTTTCAATAATATCCGGGGGAAAAAATTCACAACCTTGAACCCAAGTTAATTTTATGCTGTATAAAAACAATCATAAACGTTCACAGAAAAAGGAGTACTGATACGTGATGGGCAGATGTAATGGAACTTATGCCTTTTCCTATCTCTTTCATCAATACCGAAATTCGTGGAGAATATTTATCAAGAATAAAATTCCGTTCGGATACAGAGACTGGAAATTGAGGGACACAGTTCGGCCAGCTTTATGACATCTCATTATTGAGGTTTATGATTAATGGTAAGGAAGAAAAAATAATGGCCACTTTTGGTGCACAAACCTCGCGCAAAGGTTTCTAGAGAATATGTCCCGGTTTACGTTGCAGTTGAACGCCATTCATTATATAATTAGTAATTTTGAGCGAATTAACATTTAGTTAATTAGATACTGAAAACACATTTTCCCTTTTTCGACATTCATTTCAGAGTCTGTTTACGGTTAGCTTGGAGTGACCGACTTTTCCCAAATAAGAACTGTTTTAACGAATGTAGTTTACAGACGGAGTCATAAATGTTAGAATATCTAGTGAGGCATAGTAAAGTATGACTTTTTCTCAAGCAGCCTCTTCATTGTAAATGTCCAAGTATCCACAGAAAAACTGCATATTACAGGTATTCTGCAAACTGTGAAAGATAATTTAACTCCAAAAATCAGATCAATATATTGAAATATATTAAAATGAGCACTCTTATTAAAAAGTAGAAGCAAATCAGTCAATTTACCCTTTCATAACACATATTACAA